TCTAGGACTGCAGATATGCACCAGTGTTTGTGGTTTATGCGGTGTTGGGGGGGGACCCATCACAGAGCTTTGTGCCTGCTAATCAAGTACACTAAGCAAACACGGTACCAATGGAGCTACATCCTCCACACTAAGCTGTTACTTTTTAATAGATTATATGAGGTATGGAAATCCAAACTGCTTATTGAACACTTATTCTAGGTCAGGCAATGTGGCAACACTTACCTGTGGCATGCTCCTAATGACTCTATGAGGTGTTAATTCCATTTTGTACATAAGAAACAGGTACAGCCAGGTGTGGTGGTGGCACATGCCTTTAATCCCAGCACTCAAGAGAGGCAGAGGCAGGTGGATCTCTGAGAGTTGAAGGCCAGTTTGGTCTATATGAAGAGTTCTAGGGTAGCCAAGGCTACACAGTGAGAAAGTGTCAACATGAAAAAAAAATAATAATAATAACAGAAAAGGAAAGGGAAGGAGGAAAGGAAGGAGGGAGGGAGGAAAGGAAGGAAAGAAATGAAAGGGAGGCATAAAACAGCGAAATAGCTGACTTGAGGCTACACAGCTAGAATAACTGAGCTACAGCTGGATCCTACATGTGTTTGGGTGTAGTTGCAGAGCACATTTCGTGTGAATTTACTAAGTCGGGGAAGAAATCATAAGTGGAAAGAAGACAACTTTCTACAGGAGGTGATTTTACGTTGAGCTGTCCCAAATATGGTGTGTTTTTATTTCATACATAAATGGTCTCAGGATGGTCCTACAGACAAGAGAAGAAAAATGAACAAAAGTATAGATACCTGGAAAGGTGTGTAAAGGACACAGTGTGTTGAGTTTGCAAGAAGGTTCTAGAATAGGAAGAACTGGCAGGAAATGACAAAAGATGCAGGTAGGCACCCCTATCTGCCACCATTCTTAGGACACTGACTTAAGGGGACATAATGACAGAAACAGAAACAGATAAAACAGCCAGACCCACACAGAGAAGCAGCTAGACACTTCCAGGGCTAAGACTGAGCCAAACGACATAACCATACAACACACAGTGATGCAAAGACAAATATGCATATAAGCATCCAGAAAGAACGTGTGGACAAAGACTACAGGCACTCAAGCATACACACACGCCTGCACATATGCCTACACACACACACACACACACACACACACACACACACACACACACACACACACGCAGAGAGAGAGAAAGAGAGAGGAGAGAGACCACTGCTGCTGAAGAGCACAAGTGGCCCGTCCCTTTTCTATCTGCTTGATTGCTATGAAGGCCTGGCCACCTCCTCTGGTCTTCCCTGGACCAGAGGCCAGAAAGGGACAGAGGGTGGTAGCTCCACCCCTGGGAGGAGTTGGAGACTTCAGAGGACAGGAAGGGAAGGGAGTGGAGCTGCAGCTGGGAGCACTGGGGACAGTAATTACCCAGTGCTAGGGCTGCCACGCTGGCTAGAATTACCCTCCCAATGAGGACAAAGGCACTGGAGGGATGCTCCCTCTGACCTCCGTCTTGACCCCTGGGTTGTCCCCCTAAAACCAATGCACCGACCCTCCCACCCACTAAGAGCCTGGTCAAATCTGAGAATTGCATATACAGAGGAATTATGAGAGAAAAGGCCTTTTATAGAAAGCTGGACATGGGGGTAAATAGCTTTAATCCTAGCACCTGGGAGACAAGAGGCAGAAGGACCAAGGGTTCAAAGCCAGCCCCACTACATAGTTAAGTTTAAGGCCAGCTTGGACTACAAAAACAAACAAACCTTAATAAAGATTCTTCGAGAAAAACAAGGAAGCAGAAAGCAGGAAACCTTCAGAAACTCAGACAGATATAAGAGGAGAGACAGAAAATGCGACAAGTCAGAATAGAGAGGCTCATAGGGTGGTCTGCATGGGGCATGGAAGTCACTGAGGGAGGAAGGCAAAATGGCAGGCCAAGGCCACCTGTTGAACACGCTACAATGGGCTTTGCCTATGGCGTTCAATCCTTACAATAGCCCTAAGAGGTGGGAGTTACAAGGCATTTTATAGTTAATGGAAACTAATCCACAGAGAAGCAAGATCACATGAAACTTTCCAAGGTGGCAGCCATGGGTCTGGGAGGGGGCCTCTCCCCATCACTGCAGGAGGAATTCTCCAGAGAAGGAAAGTCCCAGAGACTGGGAAACTCAACCTAAAAGACATGCCAGGCACAGTAAAAAAGACTTCCACCTTCCCTACCTCCCTCCCCTGCTGTCCTGCAGTGTGAGAGGGGCTGCACCTACACCTGGAATGTATTAGGTAGGGAGGCCCAGACTAGGGGAGCCAGGAAGAAGCTGGAGGGGGAGCAGAGAAGGTGAAGGCAAAGCAAAGGAGGCCGCGTGGGCGGCTGCAGCAGCAGCGCTGGACTTATGGGCTAGCGGAAGGGCTTCTATGCCAGCTGCAGCTCCCAGGGGCCAGCTCTGCCAGTCCCGCCTTTCCCACTTTCCAGAGCAGTCTTTTGCTCAGCGACTTAACCCTTTCCCTTTCAGGGCCACTATGAAGCATAACACAGGAAGTGAAGCAGACAACTGAAAGGGAAAAGGCAGAATAGCCCACTGAGCTCTGGCAGCTCTGGTCACACACCTGTGACCTCACCATCCTGTCGGTACTTTGGGGCCCAGGAAGATACAGCTGTTGCCTATTGTGTGCTGTGTTCTAGATGTCTTACACTGGGGCGTCTAAGACTCCGTGTATCCTAAAAATAACAAACATCCCTACCCCTGCCAACAGTTAGCCCCTCCTCTTGCCTTACCCACTCCAGGAACAGCAAGCACCTCCATTGACCCAGGCTGTCCAAGTCACAGACTGGCCTTTCTCCACCATTCCTCTCCACTTTAACTCACACAACCAACCAACTCACAAGTCCTGCAGACAGGACCCTTTAGTAGCCCTAGAATCCATACAAGGTTCACTTCCAGCCTTGAACTGACTCCCTCCCTCCTGAGGGCCCTCTCCAAGGCACTCTCCATAGTCCAGCCAGGCTTATTCTAGCCTTGGGGTGAACTCTCAGCTCCAGAGGATAAGAACAAGAAAGCCCTAAGCTCATGTACACTGCCCCACACCCATCCTTGAGCCACAATGGCCTCTTGTCTATTCCTCGAAAGTGCTTTCTTCCGCCTGGGGCTTTGGCACATGTCTTTCCTGCAGCCTTAACTCTTTTTCCACATATCCTCACCTCTGAACATCTATTTATCCTTCAGGTTTGAAAATTAATGTCTAATCTGCCTCCACTTCATGTGTCCCTGCAACATCTGGGCTAGCAATGACTTGCAGTGTATCTTTCCTGCTAGCAATGAGTGCCATGAGGATAGGGACATAGCTCAGTACATATCACAAAGCTGAGCACACTTGTAGGCACACAATAGACATGTTAAGGAAACAACGTATTTATGCTTGTCATATTATATCCCAGGCAAATGGGATAAGCAATATTAGAAATGGGGAGACTAAAGCCCTGAGATGGGAAGTGAGGCCTGGGAGTACAATGAACTAATGGCCGATCCAGGAGTGCTGAGGTTCATTCAGTGGATGCCCTATATAACCGTGACTCTCACTGTTCTGGAGGTATAACATGCCTTCCAGGTTCAAGGAACTGGACACTAGAGCCCTGCAGGGCTGGATTTGTGGCTCCAAGGGTGTCTGTTCTCTCTGCATTAAGGAACTTAAATCCAAGTGGCTAGCCAATGACAGTCTATACTTCCTGCCCTCATTCCAGACAGGTCCTAGCCCCACCCAGCCAGTGTCTGGCCAGCACCACATCTGCCTAAGGCATTTAGCTAACTGGCTACAGAAAGCCACTGCTTATGTCTGTGTAGGGTACTGTTAGCTGTCACTCATACTAGAGGGGGATGGGAGTCCTAGCTGGGCCCTACTTGGATAGGACATATGAAAGAGCTGGAGTGGGGTGCCATGTAGCTACATTTGAAACCTTCAATTCCTTTAATCTGGGCAAAGCCCCTTTGCCCACCTATCTAGACTTGACATTTTGTTGTTCTACTGAAAAGCTCCAGCTGACTAGGAACTGAATCTAAGCTGTTTCCCAAACCTACCCGGCTCTCCAAAAATCCTGCAAAACCTCACCACCTAGCTCACCACTGTTCCTAGACTGAGACCCCTCCAGGAAACCAAACCAAACCAAACCTCCTGAGGCCTCTCAGATGCCATCACCATGGAAAACAAGGAAGAAGATACACAAATATTTTTTCTGGTAACATTTGATTTACCTTTCAGGAGTTCTTTGCAAAAGCCAGCTATCATCAATATGTGTGAGGTAGGCCTCAGCTCCTTGCAAATGTTTTTAAAGCTGCCACACACACACAGAGACTTAACAGAATGTGGCTTACTGACTTCAGCACATGTCTTCAAGGATGCAACAAATCCTCAGAACTGCACATACCCTGCATAAGAGCCACCTTGTGGTCTATGGTATATGTTGGTGGTGAACACTTCTAAACATCTCTCACACAGAAATCTTTCTGGAGATTTATAATCGTAAACCCAAATGTCTGCTAACTATCACTACCTTGCTATCCTCCTAGGCCTCAAACACAACTCATCACCTTCCCCTAAATGACTCTTCCATTATCATCCACAAGGTCACTATAGCTAGTTTCAGAAAACTATCCAAAACCATCCAGGATTTTTCCACCTACCTTGGCCTCTAGAGCCATTCATTACCTTACCAAGGCTTGTCCATGCTGGCACGTAATTGTTCTAATCCATCTGCTACAACTTTAACCTAAGCTGCCATTACCTTTCACAAAATGTATCTAACACCCACAAGTTCAGTCCCTCCATTCACTTTTCACTTCCACTTTTTTTGTTGTTGTTTAGTTTTGGGGTGTTTGTTTGTTTTGTTTTGTTTTGAGGCAGGGTTTCTCTGTATAGCCCTGGTTGTCCTGGAACTGGACGTGTGAAACAGGCTAGCCTCAAACTCACAGACCCAGAATTCTGGGACTAAAGGCATGTGCCACCACTGCCTGGCTTAATTCTTCACGAATTTACATGTCATCCTCGTACAGGGGCCATGCTAATCTTCTCTGTATCATTCCAGTTTTAGTATGTGTGCTGCAGAAGCAAGCACATCCTTCAACTCTTTAATCCCTTTCATCCATTTTCCATCATCCATTTTCCATGTGCACCTATGAAAGCTTTAAAACACTAGCACCTGAGCACATCACTTCCCTGTGAATACACCCCTGATGGATCCTTCTTGCCTTCAGAACAGTCCCTTGGTTAGCCTTATTCCTCTACTCTCTCCCAGTACCTGGCCCTAATCAGTATCTGTTTGCATGTCTTTGCTGAGACCAGACCTAGCTGAACTAACCTCATGTTTTCTAGGTCTATGAGCCTTAGTAGATTTACTTATAAGTCCTTTCCCTTGGGAAAGGATGGGGCCTTGAATTTGGCACTGCTAATATTGCATTTCCCATGCCTAGAGTTCCAGAATTGTAACTGTCTTCCAACTTAAAATAGTCAAATGACAGCCAACACAAAAACGGGAAAATGTAAACTGAGGCACCCAGTGTTTGTGTGTATGGGGGCAAGGGATTAACTCACTTTCTTACAGCCCATGCTTCCCTTCTAAGTCTGGAGTGAGTTGAGGGACATTCGTATATGACTCTGGGAAGAAGACTTTAGAGACAATGCTCACTCATATAGAACCATGGCTGAATCACTACCTCTCTGGGTCTCCATTGACTCAACTGCAAAAATGAGCTGGCTTCTACCCTAGGCTATACACTGAAATCACCTGGGAATCTTCTGTTGCTGTTGTTGAGACAGGATCTCACTATGCAGTCCTGGCTGTCCTGTAACCTAAAGATCCTCCTGCCTCTGCCCAGGATTAAAGGTGCACACCACTACACCTGTCCCTTGTCTGGGAATCTTTTTGAAACCAGATTCCTGGGTTCTAACTCCAAGACTCTGGAGCTCTGAGTTGGAGTCTGAGAAGGAAATTTTTTTTAAGGTCAATGAAGGATTTTAATGCTTACTGAAGGTAAGAAACCCAGAACCGGCCAGTGTCTAGGGACTTTTGCAACACTTAACTCTTCGAGTCTCTAAAGTTGTAACCAAGTAAGAACAAATCCGCCCCTACTGCTACTTTCATTGGCTGTTCTTACTCCCCACAAAACAGCTGATCCTGGCACGGGGAGACAGAGGCAGGCAGATCTCTCTAAGTTCGAAGCCAGTCTTGTCTACAGAGTGAATTCTAGGACAGCCAGGACTATTACACAGAGAAACCAAACCCTGTCTCGAAAAACAAAAAATCAAACCAAATACAACAGAAACAATCAAACAAACAAACAAACAAACAAAAAAACAGCTCTAACATCATGTCCTATTCTTTTGGCTGAGTCAAGCCCCAAAATCTCTCCAACCCTCACCATGTGCGAAGACATTCTAGGCCTCAGCCTTGAGGATTGCAAGAGGTCTCCCAAACCCCTATATATATAAACCCTCACTTGGAAGCCCTCCACTAACGCTCTCCATGCCATCTCCAGTATCTCACTGGGTTACCCAAGTGACCCAAGGGCTTTATCAGCCTAGAAAATGAGCATAACAGTCTCCACAAGGAACTAGACAGAATAACAAAAAAAAGAAAAAAAGAAAAAAGAAAAAAGAAAAAAAGAAAAGAAAAAAGAAAAAGGCCCGGAGGTAATTCAGAGCTCTTCACATGGATAAAACATAATTATTATTTTCACACCACCCACCCCCTGCTGCACTGGGATTATGCCACTGGGACCAAAGGCTTGTGATTCAATAAAAGCCTCAAGAGTCTGAAGGAGGAAGTTAGCAGGCACATGAGTATCTTAACATGTGGTCTAAAATGTCTCTACCTATGTTAACTGAAATTCAGGTCTCTGTCTCTCTGTGTCTCTCTGTCCCTCCTTCCTGCTTTCCCTCTCATATACACACACTCTAACCACCAATCCTGTCCATTTTGAGACAATTATAGGCAAGTCCTATAGAGAGGGAAGCAAGTCACTTGTGCCAAGCCCAGGGCTGGCTATGCAGTGGGGGGGGGGGGCGGGCCTCTCACAACCCATGCTACTGTGAATCACAGGGCCCAGTGCCTGCCTTGTCAGGACTTGAGAAATTCCTCTGCCTCTTCTTCAGAAGGGTTTCTCTCTCCATACTTTATTCTTTAAGTCCCCAGTGGCTGAGGGCTTTGCAAACAGGAATCTTACAGATTCCTAGATATCATTCTCTAGATGAGGAGAACTGGAACCATTCATCCAGGGTCACACAGTAAGGAATGGCTGGATGGTAGACTGGCTCTCCCTGACATCCTTTTCATTCCTAATCTTTCCTTTTTATTAAAATAAAAAACTCCCACTGGACAGTGGTGACCAATCTCTAGTGCTCAGAAGGCAGAGGCAGGCAGATCTCTGTGAGTTCAAGGCCAACCTGGGCTACAGAGCTAGTTTCAGGCCAGCCAGGGCTACATTGAGAAACTCGGTTTCGAAAAACCAAAAAAAAAAAAAAAGTGTAAAAAAAATTAAGACACCCATCATGCTATTATAGAAGCAAGGACTTAACTGGGGGAAAGGACCCTGAAAATACTATTGATTTGGGGAGAAGAGAATGGTTTGGGAAAGGTACTGTGCTTTGGAATTTGGAAGAACTGGTGGAGTGGAAAAGCAAGCTCAGTATCAACCCTATGTTGACTAGAGAGGGCAGAGACCAAGGGTCAAGACCTTCCTAGCTACTGACTCCCAGACAAAGAGTATTTGCTGGGTGGGAACTCAGTGTCCTCTTAGGCAATAGTTACAGAGGGCCTACTGTGTGTTCCCTTACCATCTATTCAGACATTTGTTGAACAAGAATGTATTGAATACCTGCCACGTTCTAGGCAGTACACTGGTTCCTTAGGTATACAATACTGAACAAAACAGATACAAACCCCTTGCCCTCAAGGAGCACATATCCTAGCAGCTTCAGAGCAGCAATAACCAAGCAGACACATACAACAGGGTACTTTCAGACTGTATTAAGTGAAAGAACAGACACACACTGGCAGCTGTGATGGAGACTCACAAGAGGCCATGCTTAAAAGTGGTCAGGGAAGGTCTCTCAGAGGGGACATTTGAGCTGAGACCAGAAAGATGAGGAGCAAGCCAGGTGGAAGGCTGAGTGAAGGGCTAGCAGGCAGAAGGCAAAGCAAATGCAAAGGCTCTATAGTGGGAGAGTTGTGGGTGTCTGGGGAATCTGCAGAGAAGAGCTAAAATAAAATAAGTATGTCTGATTAGCCCCCCTCTACGCAGCATGTGTCCAGGGGAGTTTGGAAAGCCAGCAGAAGCAATGAGCAGGGCAGGGCATTAAAGGGTGTCAGCTGGTTATCTCCAGTTCACAAGGGGGGGGAGATGCCTAAAATCTCCCAGAGGTTCTATAACTATCCAAAGAATAGACAGCAGTGAGAGGTGCATCCCACCCACGTTTTATGTATGCTTCACTAACTGTTACTGTTACCGAGCCATAGTACTAGAGACCTGTGGAAGCTGAGATAGGAACCCTGAAAGCACCTAGATGCTTGCTCACCACCTCCTTCAGTCCCAATGAAGGCAGGGCAGATATCTACTGCTTTTCCTTCAAAGCTCCTGGACTAAGGCCCACTTGAGAATATCCTAGAGGCTCTGCTATGCTGCTCAGATACTCAGGCTATGAAAAGGCCCATCCAGGTCTGTGGCCCGTCTGACCTAGAGTTGTCCCACCACTGCAAACCCAAGCAACGACCATCCTGATTATCTTTCCAAACAATCTGCTGGCCCTGCAGCTCTCCCTTCTGACCTTTCTGCTGTCTTCCTACCTACCAGCCCCTTGAGCCCTTTCCTTCAGGCTCATCTCCACCTTTCTCTCTCATCAGTACCTCTTACTTCTCCCTTCCCTTGTACTCTGGCCACAAACACCTAGCAAAAGCACCACCTAGGATAAGTCCACCATTTCTATCCCTTTTTCTCACACTTCAGGGCTACTGAATAGTATGGGGGGGGGGGAAATCACATAAGTAGAAAGCTTAGCATTATCTCCAGCTTCAGTTCGGGGGAGCAGAAAGACCACAGATTTTGGACTCTGCTCTGACTTTGAATCCAGGCTCCATAATGACAGTGTGACCTTGGACAAGTTACTTGTCAGAGCCTTGGTCTGTACCCCTCAAAATGTGGTTGATGATATTCACTTCAGATGGCTCCTGAAGCTGAAACAAGAACCCTTGTAAAAGTACCCAGTTCAGTGCCATGCACAAATGTAGACACTTAGCTAAGGGGAGTCTTCTTTTCTCCTATTCCCCCAACCTCATCCCCATTGCTGCCTTGAAATCCTGCCCCCTTTTCTTGGGAGTGCTTCCTCTCCTGTAAGCCTCAGCAGTTAGAAGAGAAAGGACTCTTATGGATTGAGGGCGCAAGGGACAGAGAAGAGCAAGGAGCAAAGACAGAAAGAACTGGACGGAAGGCTGCGGGAAAGGGGGGGTGTATAGGTTTTGAGGGGGCTTAAGGGGTTAGGGTGAGCATGTCGGCCACAAGTCCTAGAACAAGAACCGGTTCCCAGTACCAGGCCCGTGGCCCAGGTTCCCATGCTGTCTGGATCACTCACCAGGCCGAGGCTGCGAACCCTCCAGGTGGTAGGAGAAGCGCAGGGCCCGGTGGTGCTGTGGACTAGGGCCGCAGGGCAAGACCCGGGAGCTTGGAGGAGCTCCCAGGCTGGCGTCCGAGGGTCCCACAAACTGAGGATCCAAAGGGCCTCCAAGAGCCGAGCCTGAGCCCCTGCGCACCGGCAGTCCGGGTTCCAAGGCTCCAGGGTCCGAGTCGGCACAGGCCAGTGGAGCGGCGCCAGGGGTATTCGCCGCCAAGCGTTCGGGATCCGAAGGCCCAGGGCCCCCCGGGACTCGGTGGCCATGCATGGTCCGGGCCTGGGCGCGGGGCCCGGGCTCCCCGCTTGGCTCCAGTTCCTGGGGCGGAGGCGCGGGCGGAGAAGGCCCGGCGCCCGGCGGAGCAGCGGCCTCAGGCTCGGGGGGCGGGGCTGCGGGCTCAGCCCCACTGCGGAGACTCGAGCCCCCGACCCGGGCTCCGGCCAGCAGCCGTGGCG